TGAAAATGGAAGAGGGGGATTTTATGTTTTATATTTTTTTTTTTTTTTTTTTTTTTAAGGATTTGTCCCAGATTATGATGGATTCGTTTCCAAAAATTAATAATTTAACTGTCGAAATAACTTTCAAAAAATAATAATTAATTTCAGGAATCTGGCGTGTAGTGTAGTCCGTGTGCTATTCACTAGGCTAATATTGACTAACTCTATTCTAAAAAGAAAATAAATGAAAACGAATAGAAGTGGCAAACAGGCAAATATACAGACTATTTTTCAATCATTCGGCCTAACTTTAGCACTTGATCTCATTGACAGAAATAATGAGAAAGGCTGGTATACAAGATTTGCATCTGAAAACGATATGTTTATGATACGTATTCATCTAAATCTTTCTCGTTATTTCCGTTAGTAGAATCCGGCTAAGTTATACCAAATATTTTAGAAACAAACTGTATAGAAGAAATATACAGTATCCCAGAACTATATATATCGTATTTTCTCTCTCTTTTTCGATCATGAAATTAGATTTCGAATTAAGAAAAGAAGCGTTTTTTATTAAAGACTTGAAGATTGAATCAACAATTTCTGAAATATGTATAATTGAAATTAAACTTTAAATATGCAAATAGATAATAAAATCTTGTAATGATTTTTATTTTTACGAAAATAAAAGAAAAATAGATAATAATAGAAGATACAAATAAAATAAAATTAGATATATTTTGTCAAACATTTATTTAGTTAAGAGAAAATGTAAAATAGTTTTGAGAAAGACCGTATAGATTTTGTATTTACATATGTATGTATTTACATATTCAGAAATATATAAAAGAGATCTATATATGTTTCTTATAAATGTGATATAATTATTATCGAATTATTTTGATTGAATTAAAAAAAGTTCTGTTAAAAAATAATTGTGTATAATGCAAGAGGCACTGTGAAACTGAGTTCGGAGAAGTCACTTATTTCGCAAAAAATTTTATAGTAATTGGAGCGAGATAACAAATTCGCGTGTCGATTGCTGTTCGTCTTCCTACGAGATTGATTGTTATACTTACGCGACACTCTCTTCGAATATGAACATATGTACATAAATAAATAGGTGCTTTCAAGTTTTCTTCAATTCAAGTATGTCCAATGGAATATCTTACGTGTAGATAATATCTGTGCGGACGATTCAGAGATCGTTTACGAATAGCGAGACTAGAAATATATAGATAGAGAGTAGCATTTTTCATGCTATATGATATGATTCCAACGAGATGAGAGAATATAAATGCGCGACGTGGCATGCCTGTTTACATTCAGTTCTGCGATGGTCAAAAATATGTTAACGATAAATGTTAACAACAAATGGATTGAGAGAATAAATTCTGCATCATTTTTTGCGATTTTAAATCGAGTCAAAGGTAGTAAAAAGTATATGTATCATACATACTGTGCGAGAAGTTTGCATCCCGGTTTAAAAATTATATTCCTTTTTGGACAAGTTTAAAATAACTATGCAGAAAAAAATTTCTTTTAAAATGGCATGTATGAAAAATATGCAATAATTAATATATACATCTATAATGTGGTAATAGTAAGAGTAGTAATAAAAGTAGCAGGAGTAAAAAATAGTAGCAATAATAGTAATAATAATAGATATGGTTTTGTTATAAAATGCTATGCACGATAATACGGTGAATGCAAATCAGTTTATCTATTGCTCACCTCGCTTCCGATCGAACAATCGAAATCGACATAATTATGGCTCCCTTGACGAAATCGCTCAATATTCGTATTACTAACATGCTACCAGCTAAAACACGGCGATAGTTGCTAATAGATACTTCGTAGCTAAGCTTGCAGTATTAAACTGATCTGTTTAATTCACGAGACACCAACTCTATATTGCCTCTTAAAAATTACCTTCTGTCTGAGATAATGTAAAACCTATATTTCTGCGCTATTAATATATCAACTAAGGATTTATTACACTGTGACATAAAATAATAGATTCAGTAGTATTGCATATAATTATACCATTTTAAACTATAAGTACAATTGGACGTAGTTTTATCAATCAGACGGAATTCTTGTCAATGATGCGAAATTAAATAAATAAGTATATTTTTAGGTGCTATTTAAATTACTATTAGGTATTATTTAGATAGCATATAAATTTGATGAAATTTCAGAAATAATTTAAAATTTCGAATTCACATCACATATATTATTTAATTGTGTAATATGCATTTTTTTCCTAATATAGCTACAATCGAGAAATATTTTTAACTGACAATGAGTTAAGTCTGCTTATCTACGTCCAATTTATTAATAGTTTTTGACACTAATCGATTTTATAGCGCATTATTATTTGACATACCTGAATTTAATTCCCTCACAAGCGTCGACATGGCATTAGTAACGCTGTCGGCAGCTACCAGTAAGTCGTTTCTTAAGGATCGGCCCAAGCTATTATTGGCACTGCTGGAACCGCTTCCTGGTAAGCTGTTTGTCCTGAACGCAGACCTGACATCGAAAATCTCTATTTTCTTCGCGCGAAGCAATTTCCAAATGAAAATTATTTTTTAAACAGAAATTGCAGCATGCAACTTTTATTGCGCAAGCATTATCATTCCGCTTAATCATAATTCTTATTCAATTCACTACTAATTACTCACAATATCAAGACATACAAGCGGCATCTACAAAGTTTTAAATTAAAATTAGCAAATTTTTGATTATAATAATATACACATGCACGATATTTCTCGGGAAGCTATATTTATTAGATTCTCTAATGTAACGAGATGCTAATAAAAATATATCAATATGGCGAAGTTGTACAGATATCGCAAATGCTTTGTTTCCAGTTTAAGTATTTGCCGCGTTTGGTTATTATACATTACTTGCAGGACGGTATATTTACATATCGCAAAACGCATGATAAATACAAAATAACAATGTTTCAAAGATGGATGGTGTTTTACACAAGCTTAGCAGAAAAGAAGGACTGGATAGGTAACTCATACGCGTCAAACTTATATCCAACGCATCAATAATTTCTTTACAGGATAGCTGCTTTTGTACTGTACATAAATGATACATTTAAGATGACTAACAATGACAGCAGAAGAACTAAAAGATATATCCAGATAATATAAAAAACTTACATCAAACCTAATATATAACTTAAAAGAAATAATTAAAACAGAGTATTAAAAGCGACATGATATGATGTACAAATATCTCTACTATATATACTTATAGGTCGATATATATAGATCTGACGATTTAAGTAACATCTCACGAAGTACTCATTTCCTCATACTTATTTCGCGCTAGTACCATATTGTTCTTAATACTAGCTTAATCAGAGAAATATCTCATCGCTCATAATTGCATGCAGGAGAGAATTTAGGACTTTTTCAACTAATTGTGAAAAAATTGTATATAGTGTGCAATAATGTCTCTATATCGATCGCTACAGTAATATTGACAGGAGAAATTAATTTTTTAGTAAACATAATCGGAAGGGGGGAATATATATTTCACATACAAGTGATGAACCTGATTTTCGAGCATTTGACTTTTGCAAGTTGACTTTATCTTATAGTACATACAACCATTCGTTTACTTAGCTGATAATAATTTAGAGAGATTAAAACCAACGAGACACGTATAACGTACAATTACTATCTTCAATATGTATCTTGAATATCGATAGTTAATATTGATTTAGTTCCGTTATTTAATTATATGCCTGTATGTTAGAATATATTTTTAATGCACATGGAATGTGTATAGATCTAAAATACCATTTAGAAATCTACTTAAATGGATGAAAATTTTTAACTGCGTAGTATAATCATATCAATGTGAATAAACCGCGTGTATAATCATGTATCAGGCGTAATTTGTAATATTCCGTTCAAAATGTTCTTTGCTGTTTTTGCGCTGTAGAAGGTTCTTATCCCTTTTTGTAATGTATTTTCTCTTTGTACATGCTTGCCTACCTTACATCGCCGCCAACGCACGACAGGCTATCCGGAATAGGATTTTGTATCGTGCCAAGGATAGCATTGCCTTGTACGTTAGCCACTGTCGTTGGAACGGAACTTTGATAGCTCTGGGACATTTGTTGCGACGTTTGCTGCTGTTGTTGTTGCTGCTGCTGCTGTTGCTGTTGTTGAGGCGTTGTAGACAACGGGCCACCGGGAGTTGGCGGTGCCGACCTGCTGCTCGGGATAACACCAGGTGGCAAAGGCGGCGATTTTGTACTTCGCGGTGAACTGTTTGGCGTTGATCGTGGAGATGCTTGGTGATTCTGTTGAGACAGATTGCATTAGATTATTGATTGCGTTCCAAATTATCGTGAAAATTATGAAAATAATGGCTTTACCTTGTTATAAATTTTTATAATATACATCTAATCAATTCTCTTTTCAATTTTTTTTAGAGAAGTAAATTGAAAATTAGAGGTGAGTTTTTAACTAGCCTTTACAGAAATTACAAGAGAATAATTGTATTATAATTGTATTGTGTTATAATCGTAATAAAAATACCTTCAACATTTTCATTAATCCCTCCAGCTGTACCATCAATTGTCTTCTGGAATCTTGCAATGTTGCTAGATGTGTCTCCAATTCGTCTTTTCTCTGTCGCAAAGCTCGCAATTCAGACATTAACGCTGGATTTTCTAGACCCGCGGCTTCTATCTCTTGTTGCCTTCTATAGCGAAAACAAAGTTTCTTGAAAAAACTTCCGATGCGATATCAGGAACGTCAGGAAGTGAAATATATCACGATCTTACATTAGCACATAATAATATTCCACTCCACTGACACTTTTTATCATAAGCGATGTGATGTGTAGTTGATGTAGTATATTAGTATATGAATCTAATGAATATATATTAATCCACGCGAGAGAAATGAACGATTAGAATGTAATCGATATTAACGAATTTGTTTTTTCGTTTAAATGTGAATAATCTCTTTATCAATGTCAGTCGACAATATGTGTTGTTTCTCTTTGTTTCAGCACAAGCTATGCAACCAAAGTGACACAAAGCGAAACAGAACGTTCTGAACATGCGTGATCCTAGGATGGGTCAACAGGATAAAATCAAGGTTTAGGCTTGATATAAAGGAATATAAACGACACAGGTATACCTTAACCTTGCTATCTCGCGCATTATCTCTTTGTTCTTCGCCTCTAACTGCGATATAAGTTCACGCTGCGCCCGCGACGCATCTAAAGACGCCAAATTCGCGTCCGACGGCGCTCTCCCCTGTAACCAGAAATGATCACGCGTGAAACGATTCGCAACACGAAATTGTCAGTGATACTTTGAACGATGGTATACTTACTGTTTGATCTGCCTGGGACATTCTGGATGCAGTACGAGGCTGTTAACGAGGCAGTTATGAAATTAATATTAGTGCTGGCCATGAGTCGCGAAATGGCATAACGCACAGTTTAATTGGCTTTCGCAAATTTAATGGATTAAGATAATAAGAGCAATTTATTCGCGTTTTAACGTTTAAGCAAAATTACAACGCGTGGCTATGTAAAAACAGTAAGCGTAAAATGAATATAAAATGTATATAAATGTTAAAGGACTTACCATGGTCCTAGCTTCTTGTGCCAACCTTTGTGCATATCGTGCTATTAATTTATGTTCATCGTCCAGTCTTGAACTGTCCATACTGGACGATACACAAAAGAATAAGTAAAGCATGGCGTTTGGCACACTATTGGCAAAGGCAAATAAATTGTGCATAAATAAAAATCTCGTTCAAGCTTACCTCCTCAAGGTCGAACGACTGTCCACCGAGCCTGAATCAAAGGGAGCCATAAATCCTGGATCTGGAAAACCGTTGTGAGATGGTAAAGGTGATGGTGGGCTGGAACGTAGAATTTATGTAAATTGTAAAATCACATTCAGAAAGGCAATGATTGCAAAATTATAGAATGATAAAGATACTAACACTATATGCGACAGATCCAATGTCTTCTCGGGCTGTTCTGGGAACCGCGGTAAACTGTTCTTTCCCTTTTCGGGAACGCATCTAAAGCTCTTTCGCAGAGAATGACCAATCTGTTTGCTCGGTGATTTCTATCAATGAAAATTAAAAATTATTAAAGATTAAAAATAATGAAAGTTTAAAAGTTTCAGAAAAAAAATAAAAATAGTCAATAATACATACAAAACTACTATATTCTCTCGTTTCGTGATCATTGTTATGCGTTCCCGAAACTTTACCACGCCAGAAACAGTCTTGACACAGCTGATACGAATGACATTTTTGACATCTATATCGGAATCCGGTGAAATTCTCTTTGTGACACGCGTCACACATGATAGGATGGGCCACTGAAAACACAAAGGATTGAAATTTCCTTTATCTTATTCAATTTTAATCGGTTTATTGCGATACCGCGCAGTTACCTGTTTCCACGGCCGCCATTCTGTGATACAACGGTAACCAGATTAAGCAGTGCGGTCCAGGATCCGACATGAGCGTATCCAGAAAATCGTTCACAGTAACTTTGGAGTTCTGCCACATACAATGCATTATCCCTTTCGTTACTTTATCGATGTATTAAAGCGATTCATATACAATATTACATACCGCGGGAAAAATGGAGTTAGCGAGACCATCCGAATATCCGAACGATGGGGATTCATAGACTGCTGCAGTTAGAGCTAGAACTTCTTTCAAATAATCGGCGAACCTCCAATGTATCATGTGTCCGTTACTGTCAGATATTTGCGAATATATATCTGCTCGAAAAGATAAATTTCGTTAATAAATTTGCTCAGCGATTAAGGAATTAAGGAAATTACTTGCGACTTACATCGAAATTTGTCCATGAGTTTTCCCGCGCATAATGTGGCCAGAGCTACTTTCACCGAGAATACGGATATTTTATTATTTTCTCTGAAAAAAAAAAATTATTTAATGAGGCATCAAACAATAACGTCAAACATGAGAGAAATGATGTAAATATTTCTTTTTTAATATGAAATAAATTAATTTATCTAATCATTATTAATGCCATCTTTACATAAAAAATTCATATAATTTCTCACTTTGTTCAATATGACTGCAATAAAAGATCAAGAGTTTTCGTAAAAATCGATAAAAAATTGATAAAGAAATAGCGTTAATCTTCATAAACATACCCGCTAGTATAAGCAGCCAATAGCCAGTTCATTAGCAACGCCGTAGTTGCGTCGACTTTAGATTGCTGTGATACCGGGACCCTCTTGTTCAACGCGTGAAACAGGGAAGACAGTAGTGTTTCGAGTCTGGATACCCCTAACGTGCTCGACGGCTCTAACGTGTTTAGACCGTTCTCTCGAAATGCCTCGATTACGTTCCATATGTCGACGTTGTGCACTGTATACAATTATGCATCAATCATTACAAAGGTATATTTTAACATCTATCTTTTAATATTTTTGACAAAACTAATTAATATATAAGCACGAATGCTTTTGTTTAAAACCTGATATGACGCTAATGTGGAAAGACTTCTAATTAGATGCATTAGTATAGTTGTATAGAGTGTTAGAAAATTAGCATTCTAGAGTTAATAATCCTGAAGTACGCATGCAGAACCGATAAATAGATTAATCCTCATAGAAATACAATAATAAAAATGCAGAAATATATATTTTTAAAATGTTGAAAAGCTTATAAGTATACGATATATATTGAAATTGAAGTGTGTATACTTACGATGCACTTTTTTCTGTATAAATCTTAGCTTGCAGGCAGTACGATATGACGCAAATCGAATGGTATCAAAGTTCTGCTGTCGCATCTCTTGTAGAAGCTGCAAACGACTCATCTCGCCGCTACTTCCGTTTCCCGATCCACCTGCGCCTTCTTCTGCCATTTTCACTGCGAAAAATGAACGAATAATGTATTTATGTATTAATTAATGTATTTCTACGTTAAATCTTCTTCCTGAATATTTCTTTATTCATAGCGAATGTTGTTTCACAACGAATAATATAATCTTGCACATACTTGAGATTTATTAATGATTATGTTTCTTTTTAAAGGAGTAGTAAATATGTCGCATAAAGATAAGCAACGTACCGTGAAGGCCGAATAATAAATAGTAGATGACAATCAATTATCTTGCGCGTTTTTTTTTTCAACGAATGTTATGTAACAATTTTGCGTTAACATTTTAAATCAGATAAACAAAATAGGACGTTATTACGTGCCACGTACTAGAATAACAATAACTTTCATTTGCTGAAATTAATCGCATTTTTTAGCAGCATTCATGCAAATATAAACACGACACGGTAGAAAATCGTAATATCACTTAAATTTGCTGCATTTTCTTGTTTTAACTCCAACCATTTCAAACGACGTATTTCGTCTTAATTTGATGGAGCTCTCTGTATAATATATATAGACGTGCAACTAACGAAGCTGTGTTCTTAATTCGTAAAGGACGTTACGCGATGCATGGTGATTGCGAGAATGAAACTCTTTGTCATCAACTGAAGGATGAACTAGAGAGAGAACTAATTAGTAATGATTAGAATGTACATGCAATATATTCATCTTATGAAAGCAACCACGATCTAATATGATGTTATTAACAACTGGAGATTTTCTGGACTTTGTTCGTACGTATGTGAATCTACATAAGCAGAAGTGACTAAAATATTATAAAAATATTTTTAAAATACGAGAGATGTATATACATATAAAGTGCTTTTTATCTCAGCTATTTGTTAACTATTTATATATATTTACTAATTACTATTTAATTACTATGTAATTACTATTTAAATTTCTCTCCAGTTATAAATTGATAATAAACAGTTTTCATTATTAAATAATAAGATGATCAAATATGTTAATAAAGCAATGAAATTTTTTTTATATACCGTTTTCATGCAATGTTTAAGAAGCAGATAACTGATATCTTTTTTTCTTTAAAAAAATATTTGAGAACTATAATATTAAAAAGAGAATATACTGCTAATGAATTACTAGACATACGTGATTATTTATTTTATTTGTGATTTTAACATTCATAGTATTTTTTGTCATGTGAGTTGCTGAATATTATTCTCTCTTCTATTACAATTTCTTCCTCATAGATTTTTCACGTGAAAATTATACTTTGGGAAAAAAGTTAATTCAAGATCGTCCAACTGTAACAATGTAATCCGTTCGTACACGATTGACCTAGTTAGTAAACGTCGATACCCGAAGGTGTAATTGATTTAAAACCGACTGTTCATCACTCAGGGGGTACAAGCTTTATTTTTTTTTTCAGTCACCAATTTCTTACTCTCTCTTTGTAATCGACACTCTAAATTAAGCAGTATATTTATTAATCTCGGAAACTATTCAGAATAGTTCAATTATTTTGCGATACGGTAATATTAATTGAAGTTAATTTTTGGGCAAAATAATATTTTATTATGCATGAAATAATATTAATAAAAAAATATTAAAAAAAAAAGTTTAATATCTAAAATCTCTAAACGTTTTAAATCTTTTTCAGAAAAGTAATAGTGTGTTTATTTATCGTTTAAACATTTTTATCTATATTCAGTGAATTAGGATGAAATAAACTGGAGTACCAATAATATACTTCATTTTCTCGAAATATAATATCGAGTATCGCATCGTTTAACCGTTCTTAATAATTGATCGAGATTGTAGCGGAATAGACCGGAATAGACTGATCAGGAAGCAATGAGGTAATATCGGCGATAGGTTCAACGGAATGAGGGAACTAAACGAGGATGCCTAAGTTTGAATCAATACGATAAGTGGGCCAGGTGGGGGAACGTAAGATCGGTCAAAGAAACGGTGGGAACAGTCGGGAAAGGAACGCCAGGTGCGTTTGAAGGAACGCGGGAAATGGAGCGACTAAAAGGCGCGGCCAATTTCATCTCGTTGAGAAATCTTGATGCGGTTGATCTGGGAATCGCGAAGTTCAACGCCCGCAACAAACGAGATCGATATAATTTCAACAACGTCGACGTAACGTATATTGATATACTTCTACATAAACTTATGTTTACTATATGTTTAATAGGCGTCATAAAACTTTTAATGAGCTTTAGAACTCTGTATCATAACATGCACTCTCTCGTCTGTTCTTTCTAACCGTAATTTTCGCCATCTTCCATTTCGTTCCCGCCCTTCAAATCTCTGACGAACATGTGCTTATTTTATTTTATATAGATGCAGGAAGTATAACATTATGTAACTGAAAAGAATAGACAAAGTGACATTTCCATCTGCGATTTGCGCGGGACAATTTTATAAGTACGCGCGTGCGCAGTTTAGAAGAGAAACATACTTTGAAATTTCTTTTAGCACAGCATCTTCCCGACTATTAATTAATTTTCTCACCAATTAATCACAGCACACATCGCAAACTTATAAAGATATTTCTTGTTGGACAAGCACATTTTGCGTATCAAGATTCAGCATCAAATAGATATCAATATGACATCAATAAATACTATGATATTTTTGTTTCTCCTATCATTGCATTTAGTAAAGAATCAGTCTTTTAATTTAATTAATTTCATTTGACTTTCTATTTTTATTAGATCCAAATACGCTTAATTTTTCCAATCTATTTTAAAGTTGAATTGCATCAATAAACAATTGATATTTACGATTAACCATTAATAATTCAATATTAATGAAATAGTTATTTAATATAATTTTATCCTAAATCTGGCAATTTAAGCATATGCATTTACATGAACTTTAAATAATAAAAACACGATTAAAGCGAAAATGTTTTATTCAAATTATATTTTATAAAATGTTTTATCCAAATTTTTAGATATCAATTTATTTTCAATAAATATTTTTATATTTTGAATCAATATTGCAATTAAACAAATATTTGAAATGTAGATTTAATCGGCTAAAATAGTGTCTAAAAATCTTGACATATTTTAATGGACATTAATTATACTATTTACATTGATTTTATCAATTTATTATCGCAGACACTTTTTTTCATTTATTATAATTCCACTACATCAACAATATTTTTTCCAGCCGGATTTGCTTCAAGTTCTCTTTAGCCACATTAATTTTTTTTAAAAAAAAAAAAAAAAGATAAATATACGCTCAAACATCTATGAAAAAAAATTGCGAAAAGCTACAGTAAAATACTAAAGATAAAAGAATAGATGTACAATAATATAGAATAATTTTACGAAGGTATACAGACACCTAACCTGTTCTACCAGTCGGCTCGCTATCTACCTCTACCTACCTGGGGCGCTCGCGCTGCGCGCGTGTCTTCAGCGAAAAAAAAAGGGTACCGACGGGGGCGTGGAGTCGTCGTCCCGTCCTCGTCAAAGATCTCCCACGTATCCTCTTATCGCTCCCACCGCGCCATTGTATAGCGAGACGAAACCAGCCCTGATAATAGTCGTTATTCCAGCGATTAATCTCACGGTACACAGTTAGCACGGAGGGGGCTCGTGCGAAACTGTTCGCGGCCACGGGAGCAGTTTTCGTTGAGCGTAAAACGTACGTCTCGCTTGCCGGGAGATCGATACACGCTCGTGACACACGAGCGAACGATGCCCTGGTACGGGCGATGTCCGGATTCTCGGAACGTACGTGACCGAGATCTTCGCCGGGACGACGTCACGATAAACAAGCCCGTCCGTCGAAGCCCGAGCTGACGCACGTCGCGAATTCCGCGGCCATCACTGGCCATCGCTGGCTGATACCCGACGACCCGTCAGTGGCGCCGACGCGCACCGCGAACGTGAACGGGAGAACGGAGAATCGGACCGCGGCGACGCGCGCGACGCGACGGTTTCGAAATTTCGGAACGCATCAAGGTAAACTGTGCGTATCAAAAATAAGTTTTATTAAATAATACATTGAATTCGATGCTTTAATCACATTATTTTGTCGTAATTAAAAGAAAATCTTTATACATGGCAGTGATTTATAAGGGATCTCTGCAAAGATTTACACAGGTTAGAATGACTATTAAATTATAAATATACTTAATATATCAGAAAACACATCGAATTATCTTTACTATCCGCTTTTCCTGCTACATAAAAAATTCTTTAAGTTTCTATAGAATATTGTTGATCAAGGACCTTTTTCATTACCACGATTGTACTGCAGGTAATTACTGCTAGGATAATTACAAAATTCGCAAAATCCTGGTGGTCCTTGCGCTCCTGGCGCTCCGACAACACCGGGAACACCTGTAAATCAGATGGAATTAATTCATTATCATTATTAATACATTATAATTAATTAAATAATATTATTAGTATATTATATATTATATATATAAAATGATTACACATACAAAAATATTGAAAACATCACTAATAAAAGTTTTAATAATTCTGTAAGCTAATTAAAAACACCTTT